GACGAGGGTCAAATACGACGCTCGAGGACGGTAATGGAGCAGATTGGGAAGCACGAATCAGATTGGGGGAGGGGTTCGGGTTGAGGAAGGGGGTCGGGTAGGAGTCTCAGGTAGAGGTGGGGCTCGGGTAGAGGGGGGGCTAGGGTAGAGGGGGGGGGGCTCGGGTAGAGATGGGGGCTCGGGTAGAGGGGGGGGCTCGGATGGGGGGGGGGCTTGGTAAGATGAGGGGGGCTAGGGTAGAGGGGGGGCTAGGGTAGGGGGGGGCTCGGGTAGATGGGGCTCGGGTAGAGGGGGGGGGCGCGGATGGGGGGCTCGGATAGAGAGGGAGGGGCTCGGATGGGGGGGGGGGCTCGGGTAGAGAGGGGGGGGGGGCTCGGATAGGAGAGGCGGGGCTCGGGTAGAGGGGGGGGGGTCTCGGCGAGGTTATTCTCGGCGACGTTAGGAAGACTTCTTCCGAATTATAATTCCGAAAAGTGATATTGGGAGCCATCTTAGCTTTAAATAGCGACACTTGCACACATTACAACACGAGTCATCACACAACCAGAGATCCCTCGTAAAGACGAGACTGTAGGGGCAAGTGCTGTTGGCGAGTAGCACCGACGAAGGCCGGCACGGCACACGAGGGGTGGGTGGCCAGCACCACGACCGGCCGCCTTTGTCTCCCCAGTGGCGATCTTTACACACCGCACCAGATACTTATTTGAGGCCGAGTCGACCTAGGTGAGACTCGGGACCGGTTGATCAAATCATCGTCACTGGTGTTGGCCAGGTTCGAAGCGCGGTGCGCTAACTGCTACACTACCGCTCCCCACTCGCATCACTACGGTCACATACATCCACATATACCCACATATACACATTGCACACACAAATACAAAGATCACCCACGAAGCCTTGGCAGACTTTTGGGGCAAGTGCTCTAGTAACCCACTTTTTGCACACACACACACAACCTAGATTTATGCTTAACATACACACACATCCACACCAATGCACATGTGCGGCACAGATACGCAGCCACGGATGTACATCTTCACACACAAATACCCCCACATTTCCACAAACACACACATATACAGGTACACACAATAACATCTGAATACTCACACCTGTACAGGTACACATGCACATATATCTACAGATACACACACACAGGCAAAGACCCCCCGTATAACCTTAACAGATTTTTGTGGCAAGTGCTGTTTGCGAACACCTACGAAGGACGGCAGGGCACACGATGGAGTAGGTGGCCAGTACCACGCCCGCCCGCCTTTGTCTCCCGAGTGGCGATGTTTAGACATCACACCAGGTACTCATTTGAGGCCGAGTCGACCTAGGGGAGGTCCAGGACCGACCGGTTCAAATAATCGTCACTGCTATTGGACTCGGGTCGCCGGGTTCATAGCGCGGTACGCTAACACCTACACTACCGCTCCCCACACACACACACACACCTGTACAGATACACACACAGATAACTTGTACAAGTACACACACATTTCTACCTGTACACGTGTCACCCCCACCCTCTCTCACATATCTCTCCACCACTCTCACCTGTCTCTCCCTCCACATCTGTCTCCCCCACTCTCACCCGTCTCTCCCTCCTCTCTCACCTGTCTCGCCACCACTCTCACCTGTTCCCACCACTCTCACCTGTCTCTCCCTCCACTCTCACCTGTCTCTCCCTCCACATCTGTCTCCCCCACTCTCACCTCTCTCCCTCCTCTCTCACCCGTCTCGCCACCACTCTCACCTGTTCCCACCACTCTCACCTGTCTCTCCCTCCACTCTCACCCGTCTCTCCCTCCTCTCTCACCTGTCTCGCCTCCACTCTCACCTGTTCCCACCACTCTCACCTGTCTCTCCCTCCACTCTCACCTGTCTCTCCCTCCACTCTCACCTGTCTCTCCCTCCACGGTCACCTGTGTCGCCACCACTCTCACCTGTTCCCTCGCGCGAGACACCCAGGTGCGCAGCAGCAGCCTCATCCGGCTGGCGTGGAACTTCCCCGTCGTCTTCACCGCCACGAAGAGATCCGAGGACTTGAGGTCACGCCGAGGCCGCGTGTCCTCGTGGTGTCCACCACCACCGCCACCGCCACCGCCGCCACCGTCTCCCATCGTCCATCCACCTTCGCCTCCTCCATCTCGCTGCCCGAGGGACGAGTAGTCCCGGAGGTCGTCCGATGCAGCTCCTGCAAGCGATCCGTGCTGCTGCTGCTGATGATGATATTGTTGTTGGTGGTGTCCCTGCTGCTGCTGCTGCTGCATCATTGCAGCTTCGCGTTGGCCAAGTCCTGCCTTGAGATGCCTCGCACCTCCACCACCGCTCACGGTGCTGAAGAATTTCGTGAGACTATTCGGGACCTTGCTGATACTGCTGCTGATGCTGCTGTTGTTTTGACTACTGATGCTGTTTTGATTGCTACTGCTGCTGCTGCTGCCACTTCTGGACCTGCCTTGCCATCGGCGCAAAAGTTCTCTCGATCTCAGATCCACGTTTGATTTTCCTGCCGCCGCTGCTGCTGCTTGCCGAGGATGATGATGATGCCGACAAGGGTGTGATCACGAAGGGTCTCGTCTCCGATACGGTAAGCGCTCTCTGTTGTTCGAGCATCAGCAAGAACGATGCCATCATGATGACGTGCCCACCACCGCGAAACACCACCTCCTGCCCATATCCACCATGCCCCCCCCTCGACTCTGCGTGCAGTGTGTGGGGGGGGGGTGTACGTTGAACTTCGTTCGCACCGTACGTTGCCAACCGTGCTAATCGGAGGTGCAGGGGGGGGTAAGGACAACAAACTAACACGCAAATCTGATTTAAAAATATATATTTTTAAATCTATCGGTACTGTCGAGGCAAATGTCAATTGCGGCGTAGAAATCTTCTGCTCTTGAGTTAAATTCGTTTGTTTCTTGTAGAGAGACGGAGAGAGCTGCAGGTCGCTTGCTACTCATCAGGCAATATCATCACTCGCCATCAGTAGCAGCAGCACCACCGCCACCGTCTTGGTCGTCATCCTCCCTCCTCCTCCTCCTCGCTGTGCTCCGCGCTTGGAGTGGGTGGTGGGGAGAGGTGTGGGGGAGAGGTGTGATGAGTGGGGGGTGAGCGGGGGTGAGTGGGGGTGAGCGGGGGGTGAGCGGGGGTGAGTGGGGTGAGCCGGGGGTGAGTGAGTGGGGGGTGAGCGGGGGTGAGTGGGGGATGAGTGGGGGTGAGCGGGGGTGAGTGGGGGTGAGCGATTCACTCCCCGCACCCCCACCCGTGTCTCCTCTCTCTCTCTGCTACGTGACACGCCGGTTTTATTAAAATCGCTTCTCCACCCCACCACCACCCTCCTCCTCCTCCAACACACACCTCCATTCACACAGTCACACACAAGCACACACACAACAGTCACACACAACCATCACAACACCCACTCACTCACAGACACACACGCAACACACACAATCACATACACACACCACTCACACTCACATTCCCCACTCACTAATCACCACACACTCACAACACACCCCACACCAACACAGTCACACCACACACACACACAATCACAACACCCACTCACACACAAGTCACCTCACACCCACTTGCTCATACAGTCATACACACACCCACTTGCTCACACAGTCATACACACACAGTCACACCAACACAGTCCCACTCACAACACACCAACACACACAATCACACATCCACTCACACTCACTCACACAACACACACAACACACTCACTCACACAGTCACACACACAATCACACACCCACTCACACAATCACACACGCACAATCACACAGTCACACACACAATCACACAGTCACACACACAATCACACACACAATCACACAGTCACACACACAATCACACAGTCACACACACAATCACACAGTCACACACACAATCACACAGTCACACACACAATCACACGTCACACACACAATCACACAGTCACACACACATCAACATCACACACAGTCACACACCACATCACACCACAGTCACACAGTCACACACACAATCACACAGTCACACACAGTCACACAGTCACACAGTCACACAGTCACACACTCACACACACTCACACACACTCACACTCACTCACACACACTCACACACACTCACACACACACAAAGACCCCCCGTATAGACTGAACAGACTGTAGGGGCAAGTGCTGTTAGCGAGCACCTATGAAGGCCGGAACAGTACACGAGGGGGTGGGTGGCCAGCACCACGCCCGACCGCCTTTGTCTCCCTAGTGGCAATGTTTACACACCGCACCAGGTACTCATTTAAAGCTGAGTCGACCTAGGGGAGGCCCAGGACCGGTTCAGATAATCGTCACTGTGTTAGCCGTGAGCGGGAATCGAACCCGGGTCGCCAGGTTCATAGCGCAGCCGCGCTAACCGCTACACTACCGCTCCCCACACACAACACACACAATCACACACACAATCACACACCCACTCACACACACACACAGTCACACACACAATCACACACCCACACACACACAATCACACAGGCAACTGCTCTCAAGTCCACTGTACTATGCCCTACTACTATTGCGTGTACAAAAACACTAATTGTCATGCACAGAAACACCCGCCAGCACTCAGAGATGCACACATACATACTAAAGCACACACACACACAGTCGTGCTAACACACACACACAACACACGCTGTAGCCACTAACCAGAACACATGGAAACACACGCCGTCACACGCCAACACGCATTCCAATACCCACACACACACACAGTCGCCCCAACAAACACACACACAGTCGCCCCCACACACACACAGTCGCCCCAACACACACACACAGTCGTCCTAACACACACACAGTCGTCCTAACACACACACAGTCGCCCCAACACACACACACAGTCGCCCCAACACACACACAGTCGTGCTAACACACACACAGTCGTCCTAACACACACACAGTCGTGCTAACACACACACAGTCGTGCTAACACACACACAGTCGTCCTAACACACACACAGTCGCCCCAACACACACACACAGTCGTGCTAACACACACACAGTCGTCCTAACACACACACAGTCGGCCCAACACACACACACAGTCGTGCTAACACACACACAGTCGTGCTAACACACACACAGTCGTCCTAACACACACACAGTCGCCCCAACACACACACACAGTCGTGCTAACACACACACAGTCGTCCTAACACACACACCGACACGCTCCACAACGTACTGAGAGACATCACACCAGCAACACTCGCACACTCCCAAACCTACTCGTCAAGCCAACACACACACACACACACTCCAACACACACACACACACACCTCAATCATACACACACACTCCAACACACACACACCTCAACCATACACACACACTCCAACACACACCTCAACCATACACACACACACTCCAACACACACACACACACACCTCAACCATACACACACACACTCCAACACACACACACACACCTCAACCATACACATACACACACTCCAACACACACACCTCACCATACACACACACACACACTCCAACACACACACACCTCAACCATACACACACTCCAACACACACACACTCCAACACACACACCTCAACCATACACACAGAACAACGCACTGAGGCTATCGGATCACTCCCACGCACACCCCCAAACACCCCTACACACACACCCCTACACGCACCACACACACAACACACACACCCCTACACACACCTAGCACACACGCACACACACCTAGCACACACGCACACACACACCTAGCACACACACACACCTAGGCACACACGCACACACACCTAGCACACACGCACACACACCTAGCACACGCACACACACCTAGCACACGCACACACACCTAGCACACACACACCTAGCACACACACACACCTAGCACACACGCACACACGCACACACACCTAGCACACACGCACACACACCTAGCACACGCACACACACCTAGCACACACACACCTAGAACACACACACCTAGCACACACGCACACACCTAGCACACACTAGCAAACACGCACACACACCTCGCACACACGCACACACACCTAGCACACACGCACCTAGCACACACACACCTAGCATACACACACCTAGCACACACAAACACCACACACACCACACCTAGCACAAAACCCACACAAACACCACACACACACACACCTAGCACACACACCACACAACACACACACAAACACCACACACCACACCTAGCACACACACCACACAAACACCACAAACACCACACAAAAACCACACACACCACACACACACACATCACAAACCACCACACACCACACAAGCACACACCACACACACATACACACACACACATCACACACACACACATCACACACACACACATCACACACACACACATCACACACACACACATCACACACAACACATCACACACACACACATCACACACACACACATCACACACACACACATCACACACACACACATCACACACACACACATCACACACACACACATCACACACACCCATCACACACACACATCATCAACACACACATACCACACACATCACACCACATCACACACACACCACACACACCACACCACACACGCGCGCGCGCGAGTGCCGTTGCTGCTCTTACAGACGATTCGGAGATGTGCGATGGCGTTCCAGCCCCGGTGCTGTTGCTGCTGCTGCTGATGCTGCTGCTGCTGGTGGTGGTCGTGCGAGTAGTGATGATGATGCCCGCGACTCTTCTTCCATTGTTTCTGCGAGCAGGACGTGGAGCGGCCGTAGTGTGCCGCGCAGAGGCGCACTCCACCCGCACCTCCCTCCTCCTCCTCCCCCCTCCTTCCTCCTCCCTCCCTCCTCCTCCCCCCTCCTCCCTCCCCCCTCCTCCCCCCTCCTCCCTCCCCCCTCCCTCCCCCCTCCTCCCCCCTCCCCCCTCCTCCCCCCTCCTCCCCCCTCCTCCCCCCTCCTCCCCCCTCCTCCTCCCCCCTCCTCCTCCCCCCTCCTCCTCCCTCCTCCTCCCCCCCTCCTCCCCCTCCTCCCCCTCCTCCTCCTCCCTCCTCCCCCTCCTCCTCCTCCCTCCTCCTCCCCCCCTCCTCCTC